CCCGAGTAGCTGGGACTACATCATCCACCACAATGCCTGGCTATTTTTTGTTGCAGTTTGGCCGGGCCGGGCTTGAACCCGCCACCCTCGGTATATGGGGCCGGCACCTTACTCACTGAGCCACAGGCGCTGCCCAATAACTCCTTTTTTGATCACAGAAATTTATAGTATACATATATTAGTAATTATATATAAATGAAAATGCCCTTATCTGAAACAAATATATTGGATGATATCAAACATTTTTTAGTTTTTTTAAATAGCAAAAAAGAGAAAAAATCAGTTACATTATTTACATTTGATATCCTATTTAATGGATAATCTATAATATTTTACATTTTGGTCATTTAATTCTATTTGCCTTTCTCTCTAACATTTACCTTGTTTTTAGGTAAACATGATGAAAATTATTATGAAAATTATTTTAAAGGACTTTACTGTGAATACAAATTTTAAAAGCACTTTTTTGATTAAAACTTTCTGTAAGAGATTAATATTTGAAAAGTTAATTTGTTACCCCAAACAACTATCATCCTTAATCATCTTCAAATAATGAACAAAGATGCATCTTTGTAAATATATTTTAAACTTGGTTAGTGTATTAGAAATTAAAGATCAAATTTATTGCTATGAGTCACATATAATATAGTGAGTTACTTCAAATTTTAGTCTAGAGTGTTTTTTTAAGGTGCAGAATATTGCCATTCTCTCTGTAAAGGTCCCTTTTTATAAAAATTAAATTAAACATTTTATTTTTTATAATCTTTTTAATACTTAGCATTCCAGAGATAATGAATTACAAAAACTATAGATCCTTTGGTTAAAAAAATAAATACCTATCTTTGAATTTCTGATAGTAAAATAAGCAATCCACCAGTTAGGGTTGCAACATATAATATTCAATCTATTCTGTATATTTCAAAATTCATATGTTTTTATAAATAAATTTACCTAGAAAACTTCTCTTTCCATGAAGTAAATCACTTAATGATATTATTGCTTTGGATAGAAAACTGGACTTCAGAGTATTATAGTCTATAAATAAATGAATTTTCTACCCACACCTATCCCCTCAAAAGAAAGCCTACCAGTAGTCTAGCACAGTAGAGAACAATTCTAAATTAACAAGTATTTGTTTATATAGAGCAGAAGAAGAAGAACATTTTCATGTCAAAGCAGTTTTCACTGTCAAACATCTGAGTTATAAACTGTGCATGAATTATCTTTAAACCCCAGGCTTTAAGGTAATATTTCCTAAGTGTTTTTAGGGATAACATTAAGCTACCACATTTAAAAAGAGTTTAATGACAAACATTTTACATTTCATGAATAATACATGAACAGCTTTGAGTCTATATATTATTCCCCTTAATCTTGGAACTAAGATGCTATGGGGTTTTCCTGACCCGAAGTAAATATCATAAATTGAGTCAGTTTATCTCAGAATGAAGATTATCCAAATAATTACAGCTTGAAAAGACGTGCTTATGTCAGAGCCCAAATACAGATTACTTATATAGAATCTAGCCGGCTGAATAAGCACTAATTTTTAAATTGTAGCAAGTAATACAAGTAATATAAAAGTTTTCAATGAATGGAAATGAGAATTATAAATCTAATATGTAATTCTCAACATTTCCAATTGCTTGCAAGCTTTCAGTGAATAACAGTGTAATAGCAAAAAAGGACTCCTTAAAATGCATTATTTTTCAGCTTTATTGCAAATGCTGTGTAGCCTAAGAAACCTACTAATCAGATATAATTTTTTAGTCATAGGAAAGGAATACGAAACAAGGCATATGCTAAACTGCTTAAAGAAGTATTGCCCTGTTAGATAATGCACACCTGGAGAAACGAGTGCTAGTGATTTATGGCTTAAAGTGCTTGGGTCTAATCATCATTCTGGCCTCTTTGAAGGAGGACTTATAGCCACCAGGGTGTGCCTCACTGATACCAGGCCAGGTGCCCCAGAAAATCCCATTGCGGACACCTCTGTATTTTTGGTGATAATATTTGCCATTTAAATTTGCAGAAAGACATGCATCAAACCACCAGCCTGAACTATAGTAGAGTCCACAGTTTCCAGAAGGATATCGATCATTGTCTTTATCTGGGGTGGTGAAAAACTTCATATCGTGGTTGTAATGTTTACTGAAACGTAAAGCATCTCCAGCTGTACCGTTATAGTTACCAATGTGTAAACGGTATCTCAGAAACTCGTTAGCCACATAAAACTGGTCGTATAAGGCATACAGTTTGACACCGTCAAAGTCTTCAAGATCTATTCTCAGAATCATTTCCTGACTCTTGGTCAGAAGATGAATTTTATCGTTCCCCAGCCAAAATTCTCTTCTGAGGTTTCCGAAGCCCGCTTTGTAGTCTTGCCATGTTCTGGTGAAGTTGGTGCTGCCATCGAGACGTGCTTGCAGCACAGTCCAGCCTCCCCCCATGGTCTCCATGTCACAGTAAACTTCAAAGCTACTATTTTTGGGGTCAGGCGTTACTCTGTAGATCTCACTGCTTCTTTTGCCTATTGTGTAGTACTCAGAACAGTCTTTATATATTAGATGTTGAACTGAAGGGGGAGAAAAGGCAGGCATTTGGATATTGTTAATAAATCTGAAGAATTCTTTAATGTACAAAAGCAGTCTGGTAATTTAATCAATGGCAATAATGAAACTTTGCTTTCCTCAGCTTACTTGAATCTGTTTAGCAAATGCTTGTTAAGGTCTCAGGGCAAGAATCTGATATTATAAAGTAGAAGGAGCTCTCTTATATACTCTTGGTTGGTCCTGATACTGACAGCATCAACAACAAACAATAATAAGAAAAGAATAAGTAAAAGTACTAGTTCAGTAATTTGAGTAATTTAGTTTACTGAGCAAGGGCTACCTATATACTCGACTACCTATGTAGACAGTTACCTAAAGAAGATCAAGTGAAATCCAGATCTAGTCCAGGCACTCTGCCAAAGATAGCATAACATTTTCACACCTAATATGCACATCAGCCTTATGATGTAGGGATTCTGGCCAGTCTGCAGACGAGACTATTTAGGCTTAAAGCAGATCAGTGGCTTGCCCAAGTTCACACAGGCACTGAGTGGCAGAGCCAGCACATGAACTCAGATCTGGCTGGCACCAAAGCTTATTCTCATAAACTTTGCATTCCTTGGTCCTAAAATTCAGATGATTCCAACTCTCCTCGAATTGCATTCCACGCATACAAAGGAAGCACAGGCTTCTATTTCCTTTCACCTCAGGGAGCTGACAGCCTCTGCTGTCAGAAGGTTTTATGCAATATGTTCCAAATGAGGCATTAACATTCTAATGTGCAGTGTTGATGATAAATTCACATTTATTTTACTTGACAGCTACATAAAGAAGATCAAGTGAAATCTTCTTTCAATGACACCAGTATTCTTGGTCTGAATTTAATTATCCAGGGAAGTGTTTAGCCCCTGTTTCACACGTTTGGTTTCTAGAAAGAAATGGCAAGTGATTCATTAGGTTCAGGATAAGTGTTTAATAATCAATTACCAGGGTTCCGTCGGAGTCAAAGACAATTATTTACTGCCAGATGATTTTTATAAAAATTTCTGACAGACGAAGTAACATTAATATAAGATACTGTCAGCCACAAAAATCTATATTCCGTATATTTAGAACTCAGAATATTCAGATATTTCTCCAAAACTTTAAGGAGAAAAATAGAATCATGTTTAGATCATTATAAGTGTCATGCACCATCAAATATAATATGCATGCAATGATGTCACCTGGAACGTGAACTTCTGATTTGTGATGTGCAGGGTACATGTTAGACACAGGCTGCCAGGGGTGTTAGGAACAGTGGTCCTTGAAACCACAACCCACATTCACTGGCTGATTCCCTGGGAGTGAAGCATGCCTGAGGTACTCGCTCCAAGGAAAGTGATCTCTCCATGTCCCTCACACTCATAGTAAGCAGAGGTCCTAAAGCAGAGATAGCTTAGCTTTCCAAGGGTAACAAGACCATCTGCAGCAGTCCCCAGAACGCAGGTGGAAAGCCACTGTTGGGGGAGGAGGCAGTGCCATTGTTAGTTCATGGGCAGACTAGATAGTCAGGTCTGTGGTCCTTTGTGTGTATTTACTGAAATTAATTCAAGTCATTTGGATGGTAAGGATGAGCTCTATTTTTATGTCTTTGAATTCTAGCTGAAGGCAAAAGAGAAATAAAAATGGCATTCCAAGACTCCCCCCTGAAAACATTTTGGCTGAGCTAGTTCTCAAAGCAAAAAGTTTTACACACACATGAAACTGCTTTTACTTCATCTATAAAATCTCTCATTTTTATTAGACATTTGGGATTATGAACTGCAGGTCACCTGCAGATCTTTCAAAGACTTCTTGTCGCCCAGCCCAAGAAAAGCTGATTCCCAATGACCAAAACACAACTGTAAACAGTGCCTTTATCTCTATTGTTTTCAAACACCTCAGTGAAGAGAGAGATAAGTTCTGTAATCAAACATTAAGAAAGCCTGTGTGTAGGTCTAGCATTAGTAAATAAAACCTTAACATTGAAAGTGCTTTCTTATGGTAACAGAATTTATTATGATTTTTATAATTAGGTCAGATGTCATTTCTTCGGTCACATTGGAGAAGATTTCTTTTTTCCTGTACACCTTGACGTTATCTATTTTTTCAGGTTAATGTTTATCAATACTGTCTAGCCACAGAACATCTAAGAACAAATAAGAAAACATGATTATACATACCTGGACGTGACTGTATTTGTTCTTGGCTGGGACACTTTGAACATTTGCCATCCAAACTGTTGACAACAAATGTTAGATTTGCCACTTTGCTATCCACATAATTCTCGACGTTGTTCATGTTTACCAGATTCAGCTTCTCCAGGCGGCCGTGCAGCCCGTCGATCTCCTCCCTGGCGTTCTTCAGTTCCGAGGACAGCTTGTTAACCTCGCTCTCTAACTCTCTGACTCTGTTATCACCAGCCTCTCCCAGGGTGCCGGCGGCGTCCGGGTCTCGGTTGTCGTCAGCCTGCAGTTTGCACTCTTGGCAAGACTTCTTTAGGCTATTTACGATCTCCTTGAGGTTCTGGACTTCTTTGAACACCTCCTCAATCCTCCCGAACTGCGCGGGGAGCTGAATAGTCAGGGGAGGCAGGGCCACCTGGTAGGGGCACTCGCCCGCCTCGCATTTCCCTCTGCCTTCCAGTCTCACCGGGCAGGCGTCCTTGGCTCTTTCATCTTTGATTTCCTCCGTTCCATTGTTTGCCACTACCCAAAGCCCGCAAGTGGCGAGGACAGCGGAGCTCAGCCAGTAGCAGTGAGCGAGCTTCATCTCTGCGGCTTCTCAGCCCGGCGGGAGTGCGCGCGGCTGGGGCTGCTTTATAGCAGCCGCCTGACTCACGCTTTCTGCGTTCCCAGAAAAGGGCGGGAGCGTTTGCATCACAAGTGGCAGAAACGCACAGGAAGAAGACATCGTCCTCATCAAAGGCACTTTGCCAAAAGCTGTACTTTATTCTCAAAGTAAAGTGCATCAGAATTGTCGTATTCGATGGGATGGACAGAGCCAGGAACATTCACTTTCATAAGAAAGCAAGGTCTTGCGTTTCAAAAATAATTTGGTATACTTAAACGTTTGAAGTAAATCACTTAAGTATACTTACCTCTTTGGAAAAAATAGTTTTTAAAGATCGCAATTAACGTGCTGGTTATCCAAACTGCTTAAAGAACAGACATGTTACTAAAATGGAAACAGGCCTTTTTCCTTCTTACAGTGGGCTATTGAGGAACCTGTAGTTTCTTCATGCTGGTCTTTCAGGTGAAATCTTAAGCACTTTTAAAAGTTTCTAATATAACAAAGTGCAGCTTTCTGAGTCCTGCAACTGATTTTTATTTCATCTATTTGCAAAAGAAGAAAACTGGTAGAGAGGGCGGTGCCTGTGGCTCAAGGAGTAGGGCACCGGCCCCATAGCCAGAGGTGGTGGGTTCAAACCCGGCCCTGGCCCAAAACTGCATACACACACACACACACACACACACACACACACACACAACTGGTAGAGAAAAAAAAAATGCTGCTTTCTATTCCTTTGACTATAACATGGGGTATATAAATGTCTAAATGCCTAAAACACATTTAAAAGCACATCATTGTCTTCTGTCAGAACCAGTAGCTGCCATCTTTGCCCTTCACCCTTTCTGTGACTGCCCTGGCCTCTCCCAGCTGTTCCAGTCTCTGTTCTGAGGCTTCTTTATCTTCCCTTCCCTTCCCACTGTCAGCCCTGAGGGGCAGGCCTCTGGCTTTCTGTCCCCACCACTCTGTAGGCTGCTTGGTCTGTCTCCTTGTTCAAGACATGTCAGCACTAAGGACAGTTTTCAAACTTTTCCCCTCAGAGGCTAAAGGCAGGAAGGGGGAACCGGCTTCCATGAGAGAAACTGCCTCCTTTTAATTTGTTTTGCATATGGACTCTCCTGTCAGATGTCTTACTAAAGAAGGATTTTATTGCTTTAAAAATAATTTCGAAGTGATTGCCATGGATAAAGATCCAAATTACTTACAGAGTGTTTTAAGTAATATGATAATCTACCTTATGCTTATTTCTTTATCCCAATCTTGACATTCCCCCTTCATTCTAGCCAACCCCTGTTCTCGTTCTTGAGGGGGAGCAGGCTCACCTTACTGTCCAGGACTGGAGCTCCTCTCCCATGCTGGGGAGACCTGGCTTCCGACCCTGGATCTGCCTCTGGTTATACATATACGTCGCGTAGATCATTAACTTTACTGAGTCTTTGTTCTTGTACCTGTGACAGAGGAATTCAGCTAGTCTTCCTTCATACAGGAATGATAGTTACACAAACTTTGAGTATAACTCAATGAAAAAAAATGCAGTATATAAATGTGGCATTCTTTCCAAACAAATTTGTCAAACATGTTCTACACACCTTATGACTCATTTCCCTCCGTCCTGTGACTGCTTCTTAAACATCTTTTGTTTTTCTTCACTCCATTCCATGTATTCTAACCAATTTTAGAGAATTTTTAACTTTCCAGTTCAAAATAACTATTTAATCTCCTAATTTCATTTCTCTCTCCCTACCCACTTTTAAGTTATGACACTCCAGTTGTGAGGTGAGAAATAAATGAATGATTAGATAATTTTTAAAAGGAATAATGATAATGTAGGTAAAAAATATTCTATAAAGTAGAAATATACACACAGGAGTGATGTTTAGTTTCTGGTACTTCATCGACTCTCCTTGACTGGTTTATGTTTGGTTAAGTCTTTATTAAGGCTGCCCTGCACCCTCCATACTGTGCTGGAGCATATGTGAGGTGCTGTTCTAGGCACTAGGCTATGCCGTAAGCAATCGTACAAAACTCTTTTTCCTTCCTAGAAAGGGGTATTGAGGACCTCATATTTTCTTCATGATGGGCTTTCAAGAGAAATCCTAAGCACTTTTAAAAGTTTCTAATTCTAACGAAGTATAGCTTTCTGACTTCTTGCACCTTGGGTTCATCTCCTTGAATCAGCCTTGCTTGTTTAACACTGCTGCTGATTCTCAGGCTCTGCACACCCTTCTAAGCCAAGGGCCATGGCATGGTTCTACCTATGGTATGAACTACCATGAACTACCATAGTTCTACCTGGGGTAGTTCTAGCTTGGATGTGCTTTGGGAATTGGCTCTTGTCCCTTCAGGATCCGTAGCGAAATCCCTAAGGAAAGGCAGAGAACTTCTCTATTGACTAGCTTCACTGACATGAATAAGTCATCCCTAGATTTTCAGTCTGAAAGGTCTCTGGCCACTGACCAAAAGGCAGATGCTAAGTGGCCACCGTATGAGAGAGGCTCCGCCGAGTGAGTCTGTCACCGACAGGGGAAGAAAGCATTGTGTCATCTTTACAGTTACCACCTACGCTGCATATGAGCAAAGAAAGAGCTCAGTTCAGTAAAGGACTTGCCTGGCCATTTAACAGTTTTTAGTTTTGGTTTTTCAGTTCTTAAGAGACAGAGCTGGAATTTGAACCTGGATATTTGAACCTCAAAGTTCATGTCATTTCTCTATGTCACCATGCCACACAGGAGGAAAGATAATATGAGGAAGGCATATTAGAACCACATGGAAGGCCTGGTGCGTAAATCAGTGCTTAGAGATCAATGGTGAGCCACTGAAGGTTTTTGAGCAAGGACAATAGAATTCCTTTTCTCCCCTGGGACCACTTTTAGGACTGAATCTTCTGCTAAAAACCAGTAGGAAGTGGTGTTCCAGGTGGGGGGCAGTAGTGTGGCACAGGCACCAGGGGAGACATGAACCAGTGTGGTGGCAGGAGGGTGGAGAAGGGGATGCAGACATTGTCTCCAGGAGTGGTAGAAGCCATAGGATCAGATAAGCTGTGAACAGTGGAAGGAGTAGAGAATGGAGGCAGAGCTCTAAAATATGACTGATTACAGTCAAGTAATGTCATGATTATGGGAGGGAGGGAACAGTAGGGTTGGGAGAGTCTAGTATTATTTCTGTTTTCAGTACATTGAATATCTAGGAAAATAATTGGGTCATGAAAATCAGCACAGGATATGGTTGTCCATTTGAAATCACAGGAACTGAAAGGATGGTCAAAGAAATAGGATGAAAACCAGAACAGTTCAGGAGTGTCATTTATAGCAGGAGAGAGGATTTCAAGAAGGAAGAGGCCATCAGAAAATCAAAATCTGAACAGCTGTCTTCCTTGCCCTCAAGGCCTGTGGATTCCCATGTTCTGACTTTGTCTCTTCCCTCTTGCTGAAAGCCTGTCAGGGTTTTCTCATGCCAAACCTGCCCTGACTTTTAGTTTTGGCTATTGATTCCTAATGACCATGTCAGAATCTTCCTTTCTATCCCAAAACTGCCCTCAACCCAGCATGGAGACATTATGTTCATGTGTAGATTTTTTTCCAGATCTGAACAAATTATTTAACATCAGTACATGGTAGGATTTTAGAGTAGCAAGATTTGTTTCCATAAGTCATGTATGAAAATTACTATCATTAGTCTATCTTCATAACATGTATGGACTTTTTAAAAATATGGAGTATATTTAAGAGACAATCTGCATTTTCTATGCCTTAATCAGATCTCTAAAGTTTCATTTCCCCAATATAGTTTTTTTTTTAAGGAAACCCTTTATATTTCTATTTGTACACAAGGAAGTAAGTACATTTAATGATAATTGTCATACTATTGAGATCCTTTCACTGATGTTAAGCTTATTAATTTAAAGTATTTGTGGGTTTTGAATTATTAAGTTCATGAAACTTTAATTATTCCGTAGGGACAAAACGTTTACTTTTTAAACTACTTGATTTGAAATGTTAACAGTAAATAATGTTTATTTTAATATTCCCTAGTGGTCTTAGTCCTTATTCATTATAAACTTCAGGGGAAAAACTTAAAGTCAAGATTTCAGCAACCAAGAAAGAAATCAAAACTGCCTAATTTTGGTTAAAGCTAGAGTAAGAGTTGGCAGGTTTTCTGGTACGCCTTGCAAATACTTTATTCTGTTATAGATGGTAGACTAGAAATCCCTGCAGGATGGACCTACCACAAAAGATCTGTTATGTGAATCCTTAAGGCATCTGGAACTGATGTGGGGGGCAAAACAGCCAAAGATCTGCTGTTAATGACAGTACATAATACACAGTGATTGATATGCTGATGGCCCAGCTCTTTGGTGGGGTATCTAGGGATTCTCAGGTTAGAATTTATGGAACTGTATTCTATGAAGCAAACATCACCTTGATCCCCAAATGAGGAAAAGACCCAACAAGAAAAGAAAATTATAGACCAGTATCACTAATGAATATTGATGCAAAAACATTCAACAAGATCCTAACAAACAGAATCCAGCAATACATCAAACAAATTATATACCACGACCAAGTAGGTTTTATCCCAGGGCCTCAAGGCTGGTTCAATATATGTAAATCTATAAATATCACTCATCACATAAACAAATTAAAAAACAAAGACCATATGATTCTCTCAATTGATGCAGAAAAAGCTTTTGATAATGTCTAGCATCCCTTCATGATCAGAAACTTAAGAAAATTGGTATAGAAGGGGCATTTCTTAAACT